GCCGACAAACGATAATAGTTTTTTAAAAACCATTTATCTGATGTAACTTAAAAATGTATCGCAGATTGCATCAGTACAAGGGACTAACATGTACATCGTAAATGTGCCACATTAGACCCACGGGCGCGTGTAAAAGATTGACACATCTGGTTAATCCCGATTAGGCGAATTTATTCCACGTTGTTTATTTCAATATATTCTTAATTTGTTTATTTATGATGTAAAAGAGGTTAATCTGACATTTCCTTACTTCTGGATACAAAAGGTACAAAGCGCTAATTGATTTATTACAATAACGTATGCTTAGGCATCAATTTTGACAACAAATGAGAAAATAACAAACCTAATGGTGAAAATATTTATATACTTATAGAAAATAAATTGTTGAAGCATCCACAAAGATTAGAGTATTTATTATATGCATGGTCGTTTCGCTCGAAAGCATGTGATTTCATGTGAACTTAATTGTAAACTTAAACCACCTGCTCGGCCCATTATTCAAGCTACATTTCCACGTTTTGTCGCAAAAAATATACATGCAACAATGAATTCAAATTAAAAGACAACAATTTAGAAAATAAACATATCATTAAAAAGATTTCCAGCAAAAAGGCGAAAAGATAAGATCAATGATGTCGCCACAGCATAAACAACTTCTGTGTTCTCTTCTCAAATAAAATACCGAGATCTAGCCAAAAACGTCCCCTTGTGAACAGCTTATCTTTAAGTGAAACTCGTTATAGGCTTATGGCAAATATTATCTTTATTTTAGCTAAAAAAAATTTAGGAAAATACTTAAAATATTTTCTTTACTCAGTCAACAATAAAGAAAGAAAACCCTTTTTACAACTAGTTCTAAATGAAGTAGCATTTTCTTCATTCTTTAAAAATTCCAAGCCAAAAAAGGGCTTAAACTTTACACTATATACAACTTATCTAATAATAATCAGTGTTTTGAAATTAACAAAATGCAAATATTAAATATATTTTTTTTTAACATCGGACATCTGAATACTCTTTGCATACTTAGTAAAGATTTTTCATAAAAATGTTGGAAAAGAATAAAGAAAAGTTTTAAATTGAAAAAAATTTCAACTAAGATTTAAAAAAAAAAATGTTGGAAAAATGATAAAGAGAATGTTTGTAAATTGAAAATTGATAACAAAGTAAAGACGAGGAGGAAAAGGTCCAAAATAAAGCCAACATAAATTCTCATTGAGCTTGAGCTCCTAACTAGTGGGTTGGTGACTTATGGTTGGCTGGTATTAAGAGATGCGCTCTGACATATGATTTTCTCTCAGCTACTCATTAAGAAATCCCGTGTTCCCTTTTGATAGAAGTCATGTCAAAGGTATTCAGACTTTGTATACATCATTTCTCATCGCAAAAATGTTCCCGCCAAATGGAACAAAGATCTTGTCGACACAGTATACCCATGTATATCTTGCAAAAAAGGCAAAGATGTCTTGGTTTGTTTACTTTCTAGTTCCCTGACAATCGAACACGACTGTAAAGTTTTCAGTTAATTGTTAGAACTAATCAATCTTGTGGAATATGGAATTGGTGTGTGGTTCCCATAGAGACCCATCAAAAGACCACAAATGTCTACGTTATCCCTCCCTGACCGAGGGAAATGTAACGTTACCCGGGCTCTCCCGGGGTTCTGTAGCACCTGAGAGCCATGTCTGTCAAATCTTATAGTAATCAGATCACATAAACAGCTATTTAACCTCGAACAGTAGTTCAGTGGTAGCGAAATAGCAAGGGTCCAAACATATAAAAACACCAGAAACTTTGTTTCATCAAATGTCTCTAAATTTATTAAAATCAATGTTCTTTAACGCATGAAACAAGGTTGTTTCCATAAACACATTCAGTAAAGCCACACAATACATTACCTGCAGTCAAAGATAAATTTTGTTTAAAGTAAAATGCTCCCAACTTATAACAAAAAAGTATATAACGTCATATTGTACATGTAAATCTGTTTGGCAATCTAGTACCATCAAAGACTAACCCCGGCTATTCCCCTACATTAACAATAGAGGGAAGACTGCCAATTGTACTCACACAGAATAAGTTTCATGGTCAATTAAGCTACACCACCAGAAGGAATGCGAACAGTATTGTTTGTGTTTCTGTTTGTTTCTGATTACGCAGATAAATGTTTCACATGTGATAAAAATTATTCCTCTATGAAAGAGCGGTTCACTCAGATTCCAGCACTAAATCCTATAGTCTTAGTTTACATACAGACAATCAGATTAGTTTATTTAATAATCGATAAATAATGAAGGTTGTTGCACCGCTTTATCGATTATGCAAACCGGCCTCTCTTAATTCACTCATTTTTTCGATTAAAACACAATGAAACACGCTAATAAATGAAAACGTATAAATGATGGAAGACAAATTGGTTACTTTCACTGGCGGTCGGACATGAAAGGGCTTTGTGTTCCATCGGGCTAATGAAACGCAAAAATCTATTTTCCAGTAGTTGAGCACAAAATGAAGTACCCGAAACACGCACTATGCCAAAACTCTTGGGAAGTTATATATATTGCTTGATATGTCCTAAATAAATAAAAAACAATAATTATTACAAGAACAATTAATATGAATATTTATTTTTAATTTTATTAATTACGGTTGCAGCATTTGTACGAAGTAAGGTCCTTTAAAAAATAATCAACATTTTCAGATCCTTCTTGTCGGCAATGAAATATGCCAAAAACTCACCGGAAACAGAAAAGAGCATATTTTCAAAGTCGGTAAGTGCCTATGGCTGTTCATTTACCGGATGAGAGGGGAACAGACGACCCTTAATGAATTAGACGGAGTGGCGGTCAGAGGTGACGTCATTTCTGACAATCTACTGGATGTCGTCTGCTGACCTCGGACCGCCAAAGTAAAAGAAAAAGGGCTTCACAGAAAGTAAAAAAAATATTGCAATGTTAACTCGATTTAACTCTGGTTTAGCTTGTGTAATTTTTATATAGTCATACCCAGACAAGGAAAAATTGAATATGCCAGGTATGAAAATTCCAAAACATATCCAGTGTCGTTGAAAGATGGAATTTTTGACGACAGAAAAAAGTGTATCATTAAAGGAAACCTGATGCAATCGGGTTGTGCGACAGGTGATGGGTTTATATGGGCACTGTGCATTATATTACCTAATGAATGTATCGAATAGACATCACTTGTTCCGACTGCAGAGGTGTTGGTGATGAATGGGTGAAATAAGACAAAGAAACTCGTCTCCAAGAAAAAAATGTGTAAAATATCTACTGCCTGACAAGGAAATTGTGACGTATAGTTGCGAAAAGTTCCACGTGCTAGCAAGCCAGATATCCTGCCTTCTCAAAAGGTTCTGGGAATATTTGTAAGAATAATCAAATTAGGTACCAGAGACTAGGACACACGATATATTTTTCAGTCCCCCGGAGACCGGGCTGATCCGTTCTTGTGATTATTTATAATCATTAAGCTGCTCTTTCATCCATCAGTCCGTCTGAGGCAGAAAAATGCCAATATTCCGGGCTAAGGCACGCGGGTAATGATACCCACAGTGGAGGGATGAGCTTGCCATCAGGGAACGACCGTCCTCCTGTAAATGCACGTCTTTCTGAAGAGCCGGCAGTAGATGTATTTATGTGACCAGCTCTCCTATATCCAACACGAATTTATGAGTCCTTTGAAAGCAAGTTTATTCCGGCCTCACATACAGTCATGTTTTAATCATTTATACAGCACATAATTTCTTACATATAATTTCTTTCACATAAAGTCTTTTGTCTTCTTTATGATTGTCAAAGCACATTTATATATACCAAATCATAGGATTGGTATACATGTGGAACAATTATTGAATCATTTATATATTATTGTGGTTTTTAATGGAATTTTTATTCGTGTTTAAAAAGGCCACGTCTGAAAAAAGTTAATAAATTTTCCTACCTATGTAATTTTATTTTCAGTTTGTTTGAAATGTTTGTTTGACAAAGTCTTGAACATAACTGTATTTTTCTAATGATTTTTTTTTATTAGAAATCTGATGAATTAAGCATGCTACTGAATTCATATTATTATGAATTCAAATAAATATTAATTTATTTTATTATTTTAATAAAGGAAAATTGCAATATAAGTTTTTTTTTGCATAATGAATTTCGTGTACTGTTAAATTTCCATGTGATACATGCTATTATAATGAGATCCATTATTGAAATAAATATAGCTAAAATATCCCAACTTTGAGTTAAACCCAGACTAATAGATAATCAACAATTTTTTTTAATTCTAAGTGAAAATATGAATTGAAATAAAATTGATAAGTCCTTCCTCTTGGAAAAAAATAAAGCATTAGATTTAATGACCAGCCCCAAACAGTCAAAATAAAGTTTTCAAGAACATGAAATGCTAAGTGGGAAATATTAATATTTCTTGCAACATTTCCTCGATCGACTTTGTAGCACTGGCGTCTAAAGGAATACACGGGAAATGCTACTAATTGAGTCAAGATGAGGACAAAATACAACTAGACTAAGTGAAATAACAAAGTCTTCTATTTCATTCAAACAACAACAAAAAGAACTTCCCTAATTTGTTCAATTTATGAAAAGAATTTTTATTAAGTAGAAGAAGCATATATTGTTGTTACACACAAAAAGGCAGAGAAAAGCGATGAGAGAGAAGATGCTAGTTTATCAGAACCCCGCTAGGATTATTTGCCCGTTGAACGATGCATGGCTAATATCCAGTGCTCAACGCTGCGGGTGTCTACGGCTAATCATCCGCTTGATGAACAGATAGAGGGGGCGGGGCTAGGTAGAAAACAACAAATGGCTAACAGCAGGGTTTAATTAGGTGGGCGGCCGTATTCAGGTGAAAATCTGCATAAGGTATTCTCTGTTCTGCGATTGGTGCAGAATTAATGACAAGTTGATTTTTCAATTACCAGCAAATTGATAGTCAGCTACAGAACATTTGTATACGCATGACGTAGTGTAGTATGACTGTATATCAGCTCCATCCAAGCATACACCGTGGCTAATAAATACAAAAAAATATTTTCACAATCATAACACAGACAATAAAGAGAGCGAGTTCATCTTCCGCTGTGTCGCTAAGCATGCAACTGGAAAAGTGAAAGTAACGTGACTCGCACGTTTTGTTGCCCCTCATCTCTCGCACGAAGGACTAACGTAAAGTGCAATAATTATTAATTAAATGAATTGACTCGTGATTCAAGTGAAAACAATTTTGAGGATTTTCTGTGAAATTTATTAAAGACAAAAATACGAGTATGCTTCTGGAAGGGAGTTCTCCGGACATGTTAGCGGCCCAGTCCAAGATTTTATTCCAATTAAATAAGTACTATAACGAACGGGTACAAACCCGTCAAGGAAACACGATAAAGACTATACGTGAAGTATGTAAAGTAGTGCAGGATGTCCTCAAAGAAGTTGAGGTTCAGGAACCTAGGTTTATCAGCTCTCTCAATGAAGTGAATGGACGCTTTGAGGGTTTAGAAATAGTTTCTCCAACAGAATTTGAAGTTGTCTTATACCTGAACCAAATGGGAGTGTTCAACTTCGTGGACGATGGATCAATTCCGGGTTGTGCTGTACTTAAACTTAGTGACGGTCGGAAAAGGTCAATGTCGTTATGGGTGGAATTCATAACTGCATCCGGATACCTCTCCGCCAGGAAAATCAGATCGCGATTCCAGACCCTGGTGGCACAAGCTGTGGACAAATGTAGCTATAGAGACACTGTAAAAATGGTAGCAGACACAACAGAAGTCAAACTTAGAATCAAAGAAAGGTATGTGGTGCAAATTATTCCAGCCTTTCGATGCGCAGGAATTTGGTGCCGTTCTGCCGCTCACTGGCCGGTTCCACATCTCCAATGGCCAAACCCCAACCTCGTGGCTGAGGTGAAAACCGAGGGGTTTGATCTACTGTCCAGGGAAAGTATATACATGAAAGACAAACAGAGTGCTGCGGAGGGAGACGCTTGGGTACTGACGTTCAAGTACGCTGAGGACCGGCTATTGTACGGCGGTTGTCGACGGCGGTGTTTGAGCATTCTTAAAACTTTGAGGGAACGTCATTTAGACCTTCCCGGGAACCCAATCACAAACTATCACTTCAAAACCCTGCTTCTGTATGAATGTGAGAAGCACCCAAGGGAAATGGAGTGGGATGACACTTCTCTAGGAGACCGACTTAACGGAATTCTTCTCCAGACCATTTCCTGCCTACAAAATCGCCGGTGTCCGCATTATTTCTTGCCTAACGTGGACTTGTTTAAGGGCAAAGCCCCATCTTCTATGGACAATGCTGCCAAACAAGTGTGGAGAATTCTCCGCGAACTGTTAACCAACCCCAAGAGTTTGGAAAAACTCTGACAAAGTTATTTCGTGTTTGTTGTGATGTCCAGTTGTTTTTGTGTCGATTAAATATTTAAAAATAGTTAACCACTTTTATTGCTTCTAAATGGAATAGTTTTGCTAATAATTATTATACTTTTGATCAAATATTAGGTAAGATTTTTGGGATGTAAACAAGCTGCAAACCTTTAGTATGTTTCAAACAGATGTTTTGTTTACAAGATCAAGTCACTCTGAAATGACGAATGTTCAGCACTAAGAGGGCTTCTTTGGGTCAGCGATTGTTAATTGTGCAACCATGACAGTTGAAAGGGAATTATAATTTATCCGTGATATTTGGAGGATTATTGCTTGTACTTTGGATAAGCAGTTTCGGCAAGAGGCACGACCACCAGATACCTGAAGTGTGCCTTGGGTAAGTTGGTTTGGAGAATGTAATGCTTGGGGCATCCCGCTAACATTCCCGTATCGTGACTCTGAAGCGGTCAGAGATGACCAACTGAAATTATCTATGTGACGGGTCATCCTACAATGTCACAAAATTAACTGTTCAAGAGTTTAATTGTACTTCCATGTAAAAGATTTTGTTTTTAATTTTACAACTCTGTGTTAATGAGTTAAGATGTCAAGTGCAATAAAAATTTAGACATTTCAGATAAATATTTCTGCATTATAAATAGCAATAATTTGAATATTTGAGTTTCTTCACATAATTACGTTTATGCAAGTGACTAATGTGCTTGTAATTTACATATTACGTGGAAAAATAGGATATTTTTCATTCTGTCACCATGACAATTGATAAAGAAAGTCAAATTTCGGAACACATATACAATTTATCTTACACGGGCACTGTTGAGACAAAATCCCATAAACAAGAAATTCCTCTTCATTTTAAAATGCACAAGAAAATTTACAATCAAGCAGTGGAATAAGAAAATATTTATTTAAGAAATGTGTCTTTTTTTTTAATTCTTTGAGTGCAGGGATCCTGTTTTTTCTCACACGTCAGACCGACAGTCCGCTAAAATGCCACTTGTTTTTAAGCATTTCCTCGTCATAATAAGCCCTTCTCCATCATCACTCGACAAAACATTCAATATTTTGACTTCTGGTAAAATCTGCCACTTATGAAATTCACACATGCCGAGAGAGTTGTCAATCAAAAAAAGAAATGTGGGTTTTCACAATGTAGACGTTTTACCATTGAAATTAAAAAATATATATGATTTAATAGTACAAGAAATCATGTTCTTCAGGAAAAAATATTACTTCAATCTGCAAAAATATTATTCTTACGATATTAAGGGTTTTTAAGGATTTTTTTTAAAACCATCACAAAGAGTAGATATCAAAACAATTACCACGACGAAGCATTCGCATTTTTAATTACGTATGGAATAGTCTAAGTTTCACAAATAAAAAGCATTCTTTTTTTAAGTTCGAATTTTTAAAAAAAAATAAATAAATTTCCACGTTTTTCCATCACATCTCCCTCCTCTTTGGTCAATCTATAATCACCATGTACAACCGTTTGCTAGAAATCAAATAAACCATAATAATTAGTAAAAGGGCTTTACTTTCAAAAATTTTCCAATGTCTGATATGAAAATTTTTTCCTATGTTTATTCTATATTCCAAGTAGATAATGATCTGTCTCTCAAGATTTAAGGTGATAATCGATTGTAACATGAATATACATACATGATCTTTATACAAATTGAGGGATTACGTTCTGAATATTCATGACTTGTTGATCGAGGACGCGATAAATCCTCCAACAATTTTAAAGACTTCCCGTCTGCATTGATACCTTATAAAAACACCAAATAAACTCTGCTTTCATCCACTGTACAAAAAATTCCAATAGAATCCTGGATTTCTTTGACTGAATTTTTTTAATTATAATTTTTGAGCAGAAAATCAAATTTATTTATTTATTTATTTATTTATTGAATCATGTTAAATATTTTTCCACGGAGAAATAAAAACTGCATGTGAGTGGAGAAAAATTTTAAACCTGAAGAAAAATTAAAAAACAAATTATAAATAAAAAATTGAATCGTTGAAATTGAGTCAGAGTTGGAAAGAAGTGATTTTGGTATATGACAAATGTTACACAGAGGATATGAAAAAAAACCTATGATGGAACAAATTTCCTCAATGTTACATATATAAGATGATGAATTTGAGAGGAAAAGAAGTCCGTCTTACAAGATATTGCATCGAGGAATTGCGACAAGTACCAAGATGTACCAAGACTCACTGTCTGAAGTACAGGAAACATGGTCAACAATTATAGCATCTGTCGGGCGCGGGGTCACGGAGGTCAAATCTAAATATACCACTCTAAATGGTGTGTAAAAAATTTTTTTTCATGTATACATCTTTTAAAAAACACAAAATACAGAAATAGGTTAAAATGCCTTAAACTGAATGTAAAATGCCTTTGTGACAACGAACGACAAAACGTCAGAGGTAGCAGCCATGGCGAGCTAGAACACCCTACAGGGTGACAATGGATGTACCCGTACACAGCTGTATAAGTTTTTTGATTTATGGATCCGTAATCTCTCATTTTTATCTTTAAATGCTGAAAACTTGGCAATAAAAAGAATATAAAAGTGAAATAATTAACCGTCACTTTACCATGAAATCATACACTCCAACAATCTTCTGCCTTATCATATAACAACCAAGTTGGCCCCAAAAAACACCACACCGCACTTTCGCTGGGGCATCCTATTAAAAAAGCTCGGGGGCTTTTAATTTTCGAGCTATTGCTTGAAATACAAGTATATAGAAACACTCCACGGATTCGATACAAACAATACAAAGGGAGGGTTCTAAAAATTTTGGATCTTTAATTTGGAGGTAATTTGGGAGACTTAAATGGACAAAAAACATCAACGATCATATTACAACTGTAACTCTAAAATAAATTTCTAAATCGGCCAAAAATTCAAATGAAATGCTTTATTCATGTTTAGTATAATGTGCAAAATATTTACAAACCCAGTCAAATGATCGAGATGAACAAATGTTATAGAGATTGATCAAGATGAAAAATATTATAGAGACAAACTGAATTCTTTCTTCTTTTGAATTATTTACAGCTTCTTAAATAAAAGTACTAATAAACCATAAACAGGTAATTATGTATATATATATTTTTTTATATAACTCTTCATACAGAAGTTATTCTTGAAGACACATATTTAAGATCGGCCATTTTCTGAATTTCGAATATAGAAATTTTATGTATGTACATGCAAAAAAGGATATGATGAATAGGACATAATCTGTCAAAGGGAGATAATAATGACCTCACAACTTTTGTATAAAGAATTCAATTTCTCTTAATTCACACCTTTGCCCTGCTTGAATAACTCGATTCAAAGAATGCATATACTTGGTTATTTTTGTCTACTCACCCTACCCAAGAAGCATCGGTTTTAATTCCAAGACACAGAAAATATATTTAAAAAATTGATTAAAAAAAATCAAATCTTTTTTATGTTTGAAAGCAACAAAACAGAAACATAAAAAATGTTAAAATGAGGCTTTATTTCAAAATGATTTTTCCCCAGTGGTGCCGACAATCGTCATGCAGTGCCAGTCCGTGACAGGATGAATATTTATCATCAAATTAACATAAAAATCTCTACATGGCCTTTTGCTCACCTTGTTTTATTATTTTTCCTGATGCACTCATAAAATTTGTTTTGTATTTTTTTATATAGACAAAACTAAGTTACTTATTCTGCTCAATAAGTTTTATCTTCAAATTTGGAGGGGAAAAAAATCAAAAGTCAAAAGTTTTTTTTTCTCTCTTCACCAAGGATACTGAAACATGATGATGAAAACTGAAGGTGGACAGCTATGAAAATTCCTGTATTTCAAACTTTTGACGGAGAAAAAAACGGGAATAGGTAGAATAAATAGAGAAATCGTAAGACGTATTTTTAGACGCGAAAACCGCAAGACTTACGCCAAAATCGCAAGGGTTGGCAGCTCTGATTGTGTCATACGAATTTAAAAATCTAATACACACACCGAATCCTAGTCCAAAGAAATAAAAAATACAATGCACAATGCGAGTTACATAAATGTTATATAATCAAGATGAGTTTAAGAATAAACCCTTTAATTTTCTTAAGTTACTAACCATTACTAGGCTTCAAAAAATGTATTTATCTGTATATGCATTCGGTCATTTTATGAATACAATACAAATATTTCATTTATCCACGTCTCCCTTAAAATAGAAATAGAAATAAAATTCCTCAAGAAATGGTACGGACTGATTGACAACCAATATAAGTATTCTAACTATGGATTCTTGCAATTTTTAAAATTGCCCATCCATTTTTAAAATTGTCCTGAATTTGTGAACAATGAAAAAGATATAAACGTGAATACATCATACAGTGAATATGCAAATTAATCAGTGTTTATTCATCACTTCGTTGTTCACGCTAAAAACGACATTAAATCAAACGCTATCGTGCAGCTTTATCACACGGTGATAAATTTGACAGAAACAAGTTCTTCTAAGCGGTCTTTGACATGGTTTAATGAATACTAATATAGGGATAAAAATAACATCACAAATACTAGCATTTAAAACATAAACTCAAACAGAATCTTTAATTTGTTCCTTTTGCAAAACCAGCATCTTTCTTCCTCTTCTCTCGATCGAAAACAAACAAATCGAAGTAAAGGAATTTCCGTTTGAAACGCAAGCCAAGACGCACGTGTATTTAATTCAACAATATGAAAGCAATGTATCTAGTTCACTCACAAGGAAAAAAACATCTTCAAAATGTCTTATTTTTATGTCTCCTTTCCTTACATTTTCACCTTGTGTTGAAAAATAGAAGCTTGATAGAGCTCCGTATCGCCGCGCTCGAGACTTGAGCATCTGGAGGGGATGAACGAGATCTTGTCAATCTGGCATAAAATTGTTACCACACCTGGCGGAATGCAAAAAAAACACTGTGGAATCAAGCAGAAGCTCTTTTAATTACGAGTATTATTTCTACATTTTATTATATTTCCTGTGTTTTTGCTTAAAGAAATTGTAC